GGCAAGGGCTTGGGGGGGGGGGCGCGGGTCAACGGCCGATTGGATGCCGGCGTGCGGCAGGAGTTTTATAATCCAGGCAGCTGCTGAGCGACGTGCACACCACCCACCCTGCCGGCTGCTAACGCCCATGAAAGCAAAGCGCAGCCCCTGGTCCCCGGAAGCATCCTAGGCAGCCCCGCCTGTGCCCGCCCGCGCCTCTCGCTGATCCTTGCACACGCAACGCCCCGCGCACACGCCCCCTGGCAGGTCCCAGCTGCAGCGGGGCCTGGTGACGTCACTGGTGGCGCGCCTCTCCCCCGGGGAGACCCTGCTCGTCCTCTGCCGGCTGGCCAACCCCCTGGGGCGCGACGCGGCCTTTTCTGTGTCAATAACACACCCTGAGGAGGTGCAGCCCGTGGAGACGTCGGAGGAGCTTGCTGCCCTTGAGGCGGCGACTGGCCGCGGCCGTGAGCGCAGCGGCGCCTGCGGCGGCGTGGACGGGGAGGAGGGGGGCGGCGGCGGGGGTGCGGCGGCCGCGCGGAAGCTGCTGGTCGGGGACCGCTTGCTGCTGGGGGCGGGCGAGGCGGTGCTGGTGCCCTTCAAGCTGCGGCTACAGCCCACGGGTGATCCTGGCAGCGACTGTGGAGGAAGCGGGGACGGCAGCGGTGCCCTGCAGCGGCGTCACGTCGTGGGGGTTGCCTTCACGGCCGCGGGCCACGGCTTCCCGTCGGCGGTGGTGGAGGTCACGGTCGCGCCGCGCGGCCCCGCCGCCAGCCGGTCGCTGCGGTTCCACTGCGCCGAGGGTGAGCTGATGCGCGCCGCCGTCCCTCTGCGCACGCCCGAGCCGCCGGACGGCGCCGGCGGCGAGGGGGCGCAGGCGGCGGGCGGCGGCGCTGGAGGCATCTGGGCCGCCTGCAGCGACCCCCGGGTGGCGGTGAGCGTGGTACCCGCGCCATCAGGCGACGCAGCGGGGGCCGGCGGCGGCGGCGACGGACGAGGCACGGCGGCGCAGGGGCCGTCGGCGGTGGTGCACCTCAAGCGGAAGTGCGGGACCGCCCCCGAGGTGCGAGGAATGGCGTGGTTCCAAGGGCCGACGACTGTTTCAAGCCCTCATTCTTACTGTGCTGACGCCCGCGGGGGCCTTCTCACTGCGAGGCTTGCAGTCCATATCGACGACATTCCTTTTGTGGCGTGTCACAGTGTCTGCGTGCACACCGACGCACGGGCAAGGAGCCAACACGGACCGCCTGCGGAACCTCGGCTCACAGCAAGTCAACCCTGCACACTCCACGGTCAACCCCTGGCCGCTGGTGCCTGCAGGTCTCCAGATTCTACGTCTGGATCTATCGGGACAGCCTGGGTGCACAACCCCTGGAAGTCTGGCAGGTGGGCGGAGCACGTGTCAGGGGTGGGAGGTTGAGTGGGGGAGCAGGGGACCAATAGAGCGAGAATCTGCACACTGCGTGGCCACGTGGGTCGCTGTGGCACCTGGCACGCATCACCACCCTGGCTGCGCGATACTCATGGCTGTCACGTGCGCCTTGACTGCAGTGGGCCGCCCACTGCAGCTGCAGTGGGCCGTTCCAAATGTCGCGGACTCTGCGCGCATGCGCCCTGAACTGTCCTGTCCGCGGCTCATCTCCTCCCTGCGGCGTCATCTGACACCCAACACCCAACCAAACTTGCTTGAAGGGACCCTAAGGCAATCTTCAATCCAAGTGAACTCGTCACACTCCTTAAGTAACAACCCACACCCCCCCAACAATTTTCAAATAAACCCCACTCCAGGTCACCGTGCACGCGCTGCGCCGCATTGATGTTGCCACGTCCTATGGCCTGGAGGCCGCAGCAACCACAGCCGTCCGCCTGCCGCCGCCACCCCCCGCTGCCGCCAGCGGCCGGTCTGAGCCAGCCCCTGAGGGAGGCGCCCGGCACGCGGCCGGCACCTGCAGGCCAGAGGCCTTCAGTTCTAGACCCTCCGAGGTCAGGGTGGCTGCGAGGCCACAGCTTGACAGCGAACCAACGGCTTTCGCGGAGGGGGGCGGCGGCGACGGCAGCGACAGTGGTCGGCCGGCGGTGGCGGGGGCGGGTGGCGGCCGGCTCGAGCTCGGCGTTTGCTTCCGGCCGGCCGCGCCGGGGCGACAACGGGTCAGTGCCCATGCCAGGGGACGGGATGGGGTACAGGAGGAAGGAGGAAGGCTGGCGGCTTTGGTGTGCGTGGCAATCCCTCTTCTGTGACTGCATTTCCTCACTGGGTATCCTGATGCAGCGAGACTAAGCTTTGTGTAGGCGGCATGGCATTACCGTCACTATACATCAACCCAACACGTACATTCACACACATGCACGCCTTCCTGCCAGGTCTTGGTGAGTGTGGTGGACCCGACGGGTCCCCGGCAGCTGCTGGCTGCGCTGCTGGTGGTGGCGGAGGCGCGGACGCCGCCTGTCACCAGGACAATCCAGGTTTGTGCGTTCGTGTGTGGGGGTGTACAAGGGGGATGGATTCCTGGGAGAGGGAGGAAGGCCGGCAGGCGGGCGGCGTGGACCCGACGCAACGTCCCTGCTTAAGAGCTGACAAAAAGCAGCCAAGGACGGGAATTTGAATTTGCCTGCGCAAACGTACAGCTCGCCTCCTGTAGGCGCGTGCACGGCCCACAGCCGTCATGGTTTCGCGCTGCGCATTTTGCAGTTGCCGAGGACTCAAGTGTCTTACCGGGGAATCTTGCAAGGAGGAGTCTGTTGTCTTGCTGGCACCGCATTTCGTAGATGACTGATGTTGCGTCACCTGTGCGCCCCACCCCACCCGCCTGCGATTGGACCGCCCCCCAGGTGGACCTCTCTCGCTTGACAGCAGCAGGTCGCCAGTGGGAGCAGAGCGTCGCGCTGTCCAACCCCTACGGCGAGCCACGCACCTTTTTGCTGTCTTCCAGTGCGCCGGGCCTGGTCTCGTTCGCGCCTGCTACCAGGCTGCCGCTACCGGCGCGTGCCAGCGCGGCTGTGACGCTTGTTGTGGACGCGAGGGCCGGGGCTGAACTAGCTGGCCTGAGCCTGCAGACAGGGGGCGCATCCTCGTCGGAGCGCACCAGGGCGTGCATCACAGGCAGCAAGGGAGGCGTGCTGCTGGTGGTGGTGGTGGATGAAGAGCGGGAGACAGCGGAGGAGTGCTGGCGGCTTGTGTTTGCGTGAGCGGCACAGATGCGCAGTGCTGTTGATGTTGATGCAACACGCACAGCAAGTTGGCAGGGCGCCACTGCAGCATAGCGCATTGTAACACAACACCCAGCCTGGCATATTGGAGCGCTGCGGCCTTGAGCACTGGGATGGGGAAATTGTCAAATTTTGATGTGCAGTTTGCCGTGTTAGAGGTTTAGAGTGTCCGACGTTGACATGCCGAGATATGCTTTGGGCATTTGGCTACTGCTTGAAAACCTGCAGGCATAGTCCACACACGCGCTTTCAAAATGATGTTCCAGCCGTTTGCTGCCGCTGTCCCCGCTGCTCCCGCACCCCTGCTGCCTCTGGCTGCTGCCGTTGCTGCAGTTGTCGCTGCCCTTGCTGCTGCTCCAGCTGCTGCTGCTGTTGCTGCTGCTGCTGCTGCTGCTGCTGCTGCTGCTGCTGCTGCTGCTGCTGCTGCTGCTGCTGCTGCTGCTGCTGCTGCTGCTGCTGCTGCTGATGATGATGATGATGATGATGATGATGATGATGATGATGATGATGATGATGATGATGATGATGATGATGATGATGATGATGATGATGATGATGATGATGATGATGATGATGATGATGATGATGGTGCTGCCCCGCTTGCACGTCCAGAGCTTGGGCCACAAAAGCATTCAGCAGGGCCGAGCGACGATGCACCACAGGGGCCATCTGTAGCTGCGTTGCATGTTTGACCTGTAAGTCTGTCAACATCACGGAGGGCCGTCCGTCCCGCAAACGCCACCCGGCCTCTTCCGGCCCTGCCCGCTGCATCGCCAGCCAGTCAGGGATGCACGCCTCAGGTACAGCAGCTGTCAGTTGTCCGCCGGCTGCCATGCGCGCCGCCCGCTGCGCGGCCGCAAGCCGGCGGCAGCACCCGCTCCAGCCAGCAGAGCACCCAGTACGGCCGCCGGTGGTCATCTAAGAAGGGAACGGCTGCGCGGCAGTCTGTCACGAACACCTGCTGTACGAACTCCCGCAGGTACCTATTGCGTTGCTCCAGGCGCTGGTGGTCGTGTAGCGGTTCACACCATCCAGGTGCGCCCCACGCGCACATATATTTTTAAACCCGCATTTGCTTTGCTTTGCTCTGTTACAATCGCCAGACTCCTCCCGCCACTGTGACCAACCGGTGTGAAGCAACAACAGGGCTTTAAGCACAAGCTAGCCGCCCAAGGCAAGCGGCAACACACGTAACAACATACAAGCCAAGATAAAGCTGCAGATATACAAACAGAGCAATGGGGGCGCACTGCAC